TCGATAAATTGATTATTTCAGGCTGCTAGAGTGTTCATTTTGTGTCTGTTTACTGCTCCATTTTTCTGCTATTCTAACTAGGCTTTTTGTTTTTTGTTTGCATATCTCCACCATTTTCACCATGAATCATGCTAAGATTGAAATTTCAATAATTGAACCTAAGTGAGTCACGACTTAATGATTTTGGGCTGTCTTTTCTTTTCTTTTTTTTTACCTCATGGAGTTTTTTGTTATCTCGCTATCTAATATGATATGTTTGAATTACTTGGCCTTTATTTTATTAAAATAAAATAAAATAAAAAAAATACCAAGAGTTGTTCGTCATTTATAGTGGAGTTTGTATAAATGTGGGGGTGTTGTTTCCTTCTAACTTTTGGTTTACTTTCTAGTTCTTGTCTCTTCCCAAGTTGTTAGCATTATTTGCTAACTTATTCATTCCATGAAACATATTCGTTTTACTATAGGAGGCATGTTGCTAATCCCCTTTTATTGTAAAAAGCATAATATTCAATCATTTGCAGTTTACTGTGCATTGAAAAAAATTTAAAAAAACTTTTATTTATGTCAATTTATTTTCTCTTGAAGTTCAATAATTGCTTGTTTGCCATGACTTATTTCTTAAGATTTAGCCTTCTTATTCTATCATATGCTATGATTTGAACTCGATGACATCGATCCCAACTTTGGGGTGCACGTCCTGGGATATTTGCTTTCTGTTATTTATTGTTGATAGAGTGTATTTCCCCTTTGTTGATCATTTTTGGCTTAATCCGAGTCTAAACCACATGGTTCATGAATTAAATTTTAGCATATTTTTTGTTGTTTGGAAGGTGCATTTTAGATGAGCATGTGTTATATGGTGGAGTTAATTCTCCCTTGGTTTGGGTTTATTCCACCAAAGTCATCTAGATCCCCTGCTTAGCACAATTTATTTTGGTGCATGTTGATCATATTGGAATTTTAAATATGTTCTCTTTCTCACGTCATTTGAACCTACACTAATATATTTCCTCTTTTCTGTTGTTGTATGTAAATTCCCACTGAGTCCATTGTGGACTCTTTTCCCTCCTCCATTGCATTTCAAAATACACCATAAAGGCCTAAATTCATTTTTCTTCCTCTCGAGTCAAGTAGAGAAGATGATGGACAGATTGAAAGTAGCAAACAGGGTTGGAAACTAAAATTGCAGATCTCAAAAGCCCCAAAAGGGGAGCTGTATACTTGCTGTATACACTCGTTATACTGTGATATACCATTCTAAAACAGCAAAGCGCAGGTCTAGTGCAAAATACAGGTCCTCGGAAAGTCATTTAGGCTGTATAGGGATGAAATAAAGCCTGATATACAGTGAAAAGGGCCGACATATGGTCCATATACAGTAATATACGCCTTGTATATATACAGGTTTTCAAGGGGAAAAATAAGGCCCAAGCCCAAACACAATTGCAGCAGGCCCAAGAAGGGCCCAAATTTAATTTCTCCTTTACTCTTAAATTATTTAATTGTGATTATTTATTATGGTGTTTTTATTCAACTCTAACTTTAGAATTATTAATTAACCTAATTAGATTCCCCAAAAGATAAGTTATTTTCTTTGTGTTGGTTAAATTTTAATATTTTTATTTTATTTTTTATTAATCAAATATGTTGGTCAAATTATACATTTTAATTAAGTTAAATCTTTTGTTCTTAAAAGATATGTTTTAATGCCTCTTCACTTAATCATATTATACTCATTTTAAAACAGTTTTAAGTTAAAGTATTTTTCTCAAATGAACTTCAAAAATGTTCTCTTTTTTATTTTTTTATTTAGTCATTTTCGCAAAAAGTTCATCAAAGTTTTTTTTATTTATTTATCAATTGATTTAAAATAGTTTCATGCTTTAATTTATCAAAATGGTTCAAATTATTATTTTTAAAACAATTCAATAAGTTTAATTAGTGTAAATTTGTTAAAATTCTAATAACTTGTAATTCAATTGAAATGTTTCAATTAAAGTTCTTTTAGCTTGAAGAATAAAAAATGTTCTTTATTTAATTATTTTCTCAAAGTTAATCAAATATTGTAAATTATTATTTTTTATGTTAAATCACTTTCCCAAAGACTTGGTCAAAAAATTATTTTAGTCAAGTCATAGGATAACTGCATGTTAGCGGTTACTTTAAGTGCTAATACCTTCTTAGAGTAGAAATTAGAACTTCTTATCAATTTTCTTTAAATTTTTAAAGGTTTATCTGTTAAAGCCTTTTTAAATTAAGTTTTCTTAATTTCTTTAAAAAATTAAGTGTCGACTCTTTTCTAAGTATTTTTCTCAAATTGTTTTATAATTAGAACATTTCAAAAAGTGATTTTGCTAAAGATAGTAAAATTACGGCATAAAAATATGTAGCTCGGATACATTAAATATTGGCTCGGATACATTAATATGTAGCTCAGATACATTAAAGAAATAAGGTATTTTAGAGGTTTTTAGAAATAGAAGGGGATATTGGAAATAAGGGAAACATAAGACGTGTATTTCAGTAATTTTTCCATAAAATATTCATATTTTATTGAGCAACTTTCACATTTAGCAAACATAAAAATCATATTTTTATGTTATAACTATAGTTTGCATAATTGTGCTCCATAACAAACTTTTATGTTTGCTATATGGAGCATCAAATTGTATAAATGGTTGGGGGCATCAGATTTGTATAAAATTACTGGCAGCCTCTCATTTGTATAAGTCGTTGGCAGCCTCTTGTTTGTATAAATCGCTCGCAGCCCCTCAATTCAATTTTATGTGTTTGTATATCTGCATAAAATTTGAATTTGTATACAATTGAATCGAAATAAAACGTTTGTATATCAAATCTCTCTCTCTCGCTTTATACAAACACAAATTATACATTGTATTTTGTATAATCTGTGTTTGTATAAAGCAAGAAAGAGAGAAAGGCAAAAGAGAACTGGGCCGGAGAAGATTTGTATTATATAATTATGAATGTATAGGACGAAGATATATGTATTTGCATATGTATATACAATTTTCTCTCGTTGTATACAAACAGAAACACAATTTATACATTTGAGTTAGTATAAACTGAGAGAGGCGAGGGAGAGACTGGCAAGCGAGAATTTCAGGTAGAGAGGCGAATGACAACAGTTTGTTACGGGTTACAATTAAATCAAACTGTGGTTATAACATTTAATTTGAATTAATAATTTGCTATTATATACAATTTTCCCTATTTTATTTGTTGGAGTTTTTTTTTTTTTACCCTCCCTAGGAGCTCCCACCCCTTTTGCTCCCTTGGTGACTCGAACTCGCAACCTTCCAGTTGGAAGTGAGGGGTGCTTACCATCCGAGCAACTCCCTCTCGTCTATTTGTTGGAGTTTATTTTTCGTACATAAAAATTTATTTTTAACAATCTTATTATGGGACTGGGAACCTAAATAAGCCACAAAAACATAAAAGTGACCAAAATAAGTCACTACTTTAGGAAGTAACTAAAATAGGCTTAGTGGAAGAAAAAATTCCACTTTATCTAATATTCTAAACGTTTTCCGTTAGTCTCATAACCTGTATATTTTAATATATAACGAAATTATTTTCTACACTTTATAAAATGGAACTATTTCTTACACTTTATAAAGTGGAACTTTTTCTTACACTTTATAAAGTGGAAGAAAATCTTACACTTTACAAAGTGGAAGAGAAAATTCCACTTTACAAAGAGGAATATTTTCACGTTTTTATTTCTTTTGCAGTGTTTGTCATACAATTATATTGATTTGACATATCATAAAACGGAAAAAATTATTACACTATGTATTTTTATTTTTTTATTCTGAAAAATCCTCCAATCTCTATTTAAGGAGGACGTTCAAACATTAACTGGTAGCACCTACAACATACTTTCTATATTTGTTCATTTCAATCTCAAAAATAAAATTGTCTTCTAAACCAAAAGTTAGAGTTTTGATTTATTGGGATGTCGAAATTATACATGATGGAAATACCGTTTATTATAATTGTCCTCCCAAACACAATGCTAAATATTCAATTAATGTCCGATATCATAAATTTCTTTCATCAATTTATAAAAGAATGAGTATAAACAGTATTGTTTATAATTTGATTATAGTCGTAAAATACCCTACTTCATTTTTATCACAAGGACAAGTAAATTTTGGAGAGTGGATTATCTATAATGACGAATCGTTGATCGACTTTTTGAGGGTTCCAGATGACTACATAGATCAAATCAAGTTAACAATACTTGAAATCTATGTTAGGAAGGAGCCTAAGACTAGTCAACAACGTTCTCCTTTATCGGTCAATGTCCATCCACTTTATAAAAAGTGTAATAAAAAGTTCCACTTTATAAAGTGTAAGAAAAAGTTCTACTTTATAAAGTGTAAGAAATAGTTTCATTTTATAAAGTGTAGAAAATAATTTCGTTATCTATTAAAATATACACGTTATGAGACTAACGAAAAATGTTTAGAATATTAGATAAAGTAGAATTTTTTCTTCCACTAAGCCTATTTTAGTTACTTCCTAAAGTAGTGGCTTATTTTGGTCACTTTTATGTTTTTGTGGCCTATTTAGGTTCCCAGTCCCTTATTATGTACCCTAAAACATATAGAGTAGCAGGCATTAATGGTTAATTAGTTGTGAACTTCTCAAAGTTGAAATTAAGTGAGTAGTCGTACTCGTTCACGGGAGCCAAACGCCTATTTCCAAATTGGCAAATAGCTGTACCCACTAGAGTGATCACTCTCATATTATTTGCCATGTTTTAAATGTTAATGTTTAGGAATGGCAATGGGATGAAGTAGGACGAAATCGGACCAGATTGAGTTTAATCCGTAAAAAAATTTAATCCGCCCCCACCCCGGCTTGACTAGCAATATTTTAAATTTTCAATTCGCTCTGCCCCGTCCTGTATAGACCCGCCCGATTCTTTTACCCTTCATTTCTATATTGTGTGTATAAGCAAACGCTCCAGATAAAGAAGATAATTTATTTAGAAAGCCATGCTAAAATATATAGATATACCTTAGCAGGTGTTTATTTTACAACATAACATAGTAGCTAAAACATATAGTCTAGCTAGACTTCCTTGAAGTTGACATCAAGAGGATTTTTGTTGACAAGAGCCAAACGCCTTTTTCCTTTTTGAATAACTACACCCACTTTTGCACAGAAGTCATCATCACGACAAAATGGACAAAGAATAGGGGGGCGCGTAATAGGGCAATACAATAAGTTGTAACCAAAGTTTGATGATTTAACAATCTTGAAATAGGTGCTATCTGCTTGCCCTATGGTTCCTCCCGTCTCCAACAACATCGTCCTTAGATATGCATTTATACCGACTTTCCAAATTGTATAACTAACACACAATCTCACTGTTGGAATATTGAATTGTATGTTGAGCAGTTGATCTTCAAAGATATTTGCTCCAGATAAAGGAATGAATCTAACGGGTGTACCGCTAGGTCCAACATCGGAATTGTAACGGAATACGCCATCTGGACAAGGGGCATCTGAATTTGGGGACTTTCCTAGGTACACATCACCACCTAAGGCACCCCTACCAATGGAAATAATGCGATAACTCGAATTAGGATTGAGTTCTTTACCATTTGTGTCAAGTACCGGCTTAGGTAGAGGAGATTCACTGGGTAGGTCAATGAGATTTTGGGAAGTGAAAGTTGATGAAAACACCACAATGGGAACCAAACACAAACATAACAAAAATAAACACTTCATCTTGTTTAAGCTACTGATTTTATTGCTTTGTGTTTTCTCTATACTAATGAAGCCTTCTATTTATAGAGTGATCACACACTCATATTCCTTGCCATGTTTTAAACATGTAGTGGTCCGAGTAGCTACTCAACCAATTATAATGGAGTAAATCTTTACCAAAAAATATTTATTTTCTTTCTCGCAATTTTCAAGAATACAAATAAGTTTTTTATCATAAAATTTTGAATTATTAATTAGTGTGACATAAATGTACTTTTTATATGGTGTCAAATATGTATAATTAAAATTCATGTCCAAATTTACTGTCAAAGTTAAATTATTTTGACTCTCAAAATTCGAACGATTCCTCAGATTGACCCAGATGAAATATGTTTTCTTTTATCAATAAAATCTGTCAAGTCACAGAGTTTACCTACCAAGTCATTATACCTAGAAAAAAAAGATAAAAAATAAAGCAACATAAATCTCCCTTTTAAGTTTGATTTCTTTCAACTTACCTCCTTTTCTTTCAAAAAAATTATCTTAAAGATAAATAATTTTACCTCTCAAACTTTACCAAACAATTTATGAGGCTCGTTTTGAATCATATATTTTTTGGCTTTTTCTTTATAAAAAGAAATATCTTGTCCAATAACTAGTGCAATCTAAATCTACTTAAAGAAACCACCTCATGAGAGTTCTGTATTTCTTTCTTTCTTTATTGGTAGCATATTTGTGGATGGCAAATATCCGAAAATTAATTAAAATATTTTTAAAAAAAACAATCCTTCCCCAAAAATACATCATTCTCTCCAAGATCTCTCAAATAAAAAATCTATGAAAATAACTTTTTCCCATTTCATAATTTCTTCTTCTTTTCATAATTTTAATGGATTTGGCTCCCCTCCATTACCCTTTTCCTCCATTTCGTCAAGTACACATCTAGATGAGAGACATGTGTACTATTTAATTGTTAAAGGTCAAGATTATATTGCATTAACTAGTATCATAACCATAGTTAAGTGAATAAGTTTTGGAAAAAAATCTCTCCAAATTTAGTAAAAATAATTAATTCTTCTCAATTTTTGATATCCACTATCCATATATTTATATCATTAATTTTATTTTATATTTAAATATTAAAATGATAACAACGTTTAGTTTATTTAGCCTAACAGTAGTCTTACAAAATATTTTGCCTTTAAATTGATGTTTTCTTTTATTTTATTTTTTAAAAGATTTTTTTTTTTTGATACTTTCACATTTGTAATTCTAATTATGCATTTTTTACTTCCCATTTTTATTATATGATTTCTATTTCAATCTAATATTTCACATTTGTAATTCTAATACTTTCACAGTAGCCTAATTATGCATTTTTTACTTCTCAACCTAATATTAAAGAATAAATTTGCTAGAATAGGAAGCAATTAAATAATGTACAATATAAATATTTGAATATAGAAATATAAAATAAAATCAAACGGTTCTAATATTTGTAGGAATAATTTTCTTATCAAAGTTAAGAAATTATTTGTTCAAAACTTATTTCTTAACTATGGTTATGATACTAGTTAATGCAACATAATCTTGACCTTTGACAATTAAATAGTACACATGTCTTTCATTTAGACGTGTACTTGACGAAATGGAGGAAAAGGGTAATGGAGGGGAGCCAAATCCAATTTTAATGTTATCCAACTTTGAGGAGTGTTAAGAACATTATCTTTAAAGATATTTTATTGATAAATATGTATTTAATCTCTCGAATATTGAAGAAGGTATTACATAGGACCTACATGTAATTAGTAAGAGTTTGTATGTAATTAATAGAAGTTAGAGGGTTAGTTAGTAAAGAGTCGGTTAGATTAGTTACAACAAGATTCCTACTTAGTTTGTATAAATGTAGCACATTACTGATTCAATTGTTTTTCTCTTAAGCAATGAAGTTCATTTCTCATTCTCTCTAATTCTTCTTCTTTACGTCTAGAACATTCCTAATAAAAGGGAACTGTTCTTCAAGATATCTTCTTCAAGATATCTAACATGGTATCAGAGCAGGGCTCGTCTCACCCAATGTTGGGGCCCCTAAAATAAAAAATTGCCCACGCACCAGATGCTAAGCACTGGGCGTGAGGTGGGGTGTTAAAGAATGACAAAGTCCCACATCGGTGGTTAATGAGATGGGTGGACTCCTTATAAGGCTTGTGTAATCCTCCTCCCTTGGAGCTAGCTTTTGGGGTGTGAGTTAGGCCTAAGACCTAATTTAACATGTTATCAAAGCAGATCGATTACTGCTGTAACTGCTTTCTAATCTAAACACACACTGATTGTACTACTCATCTCGCTGGTGAAGCTATGGCGAATGTGGACAATGAGTTACCTGAGAAGTTAAGTCACAATCATCCTCTGTTTTTACATACAATTGACAATTCTGGAGTATTACTTAGTTTAATTTAACTAATCGGAGCTGATAACTACTCTGTATAGAGTCGCGCTATGAAGATTGCAATTCTAGGGCGTAATAAGTTGGGATTCATTGACGGTTCATGTAAAAAGGAGGTGTATGGTCCTAATTTGACAATTCTATGGGAAATGTGTAATGCAATTGTACTTTCATGGATTATGAACTGTGTGTCAAAGGAATTACTTGGAGGAATTGTTTACTCCACAAATGCAACTGCTGTGTGGAAGAATCTCCAAGAACGATATGATAAGGTTGATAGAAGTCATATTTTTCAGCTTCATAAAGAAATTGCCACAATTAGTTAAGGTACAAGTTCAATTTCAGTCTAATTTGCTCGATTAAATGAACTGTGGGTAGAGTTTGATAGTTTAGCACCAGTTCCTGCCTGTGACTGTGCAAACTCGAGAGAATTTGTTATATTTGTGCATAATCAGAAGTTATTGCAATTCCTTATGGGTCTTAATGAATCATATGAACAAACTAGAGGACAGATCTTGATGATGATGTCATTAGCATCTCTCAATAAGACTTATTTTATGTTAATTGAAAGGGAAAGTCAACGAAACATTTCACAATCATCTGCTAGCTCGTCTGAGTTGAATGTTTTGTTCATTAGTCGAAATTCAACACAATTAGTGCCTAGGTCAAGACCATCACACACCTCTACCTATGATCCAAATGCCTTTTGTGATTACTGCAAACACACAGGTCATACTCAAGGTATTTGTTATCAGCTTCATGGATATCCCCCTGGGTATGAAAGGAAGAAGAAATGACAATTCTCTACTAACACTGGGAGGGGCAAACCTCCTAACGAAATGAGACAGTATCCAGCTGCCAATAATGTGGTTAGTGAATCTGAACACAACCATAGATCTGACCTTGATCACAACAGAGGTATGAGTTCAGGGAATCATAGTGGAAGCCAAGGATATGTGAGTCCAGGGAATCATGGTGGAAGCCAAGGTTATGGGAGGTGAAATAGTCAGGCTGATCAAACTGATTACCAAAGAGGAATGACTGTCTTACATGAACAATATAACCAGATTTTAACTATGCTTGGACAAACTAATGTACATAAAGGTACTGAAGGACCATCTACATCTCATTCAAGTGCAAATTTAGCTCAGGAATATCCCACAACAGGTACAACTACTGCACTCACAAGTCATTCTACTCACACGCACTGGATTATAGATTCAGGAGCCACAAATCACATGACACCACATGCTGATATGCTTGTTCAGAAACACATTTTTTCACCAAATAATCCTAGAACTGTACAATTACCAAATGGCACCACTACTCATATCACACACACTGGTTCAAGTAGTTTGACTAAACATGATACTCTCAATAATGTTCTCCTTATTCTAGAGTTTAAGTTCAATCTACTATCTGTGTAAAAAATGACTAAAGACCTGCAATGTGTTGTGTCTTTCTTTCCTGACTTTGTTGTCATTCAGGACCTCTCAAGTGGGCAGGTGAAGGTGATTGGTAAGGAGCATGTTGGGCTCTATCATCTCCTTTCTCATACTTACTCCACAAACACACAATGTCAGTCACATTTAGCACACACGGCTGCTGCCTATTCTTCAACAGACTCTCAGATTCAATTGTGGCATCAAAGGCTAGGACACACATCATCCAGTGTGTTAACTCATACTCTTGATTTTTCTACCAGTAAATGTTCTCATTTTGTATACACCTGCACCGTATGCCATTTAGCTAAGTAACATAGACTTCATTTTCCTCATAGCACTTCCATTTCTTCTATTCCTTTTCAGTTGTTACATATAGATGTTTGGGGTCCTTTCAACACTCCCACATGATTGTAACAGATACTTTATTACCATAGTGGATGATTGTACTAGGATGCTATGGCTATTTCTAATAAAATCCAAAAGTGATGTTTGTGTTGTGTTGAAAAACTTCTTTACTTTGGTCAAAACTCAATTTAACTTTGCTGTTAAATCCATTAGAATTAATAATGGGTCAGAGTCTGTCAATACTAAGTGTTATCAATTGCTTACCAGTCTGGGTATTAGTCATCAAAAGACTTGCATTCATACTCATCAACAGAATGGGATTGCTGAAAGGAAACACAAACATATACTTAAAGTGGCAAGGGCAATCAGTTTTCAGGGTCATATCCCAATCAAATTTTGGGGTCAATGCATTCTCAGTGCTGCATACAATATCAACATGTTGTCTACACCTGTGTTACATGGGAAAGCACCCTATGAGGTGTTTCTCAAGAAGAAACCTTCTCTTTTACATATGAAAGTCTTAGGTTGCCTTTGTTATGCCAAAAACATGTACATCACTAATAAATTTCACCCTAGATGTGTGATTGGTATTCATATGGGTTATAGTAATCTTACAAAAGGGTATTTGTTGTATAACATGCGAGATAAGAATTTCTTCCTCAGCAGAGATGCTGAATTCAGAGAGTCTATATTCCCTTTTGTTGTACCTACATTTAGTTCCTGGTAATTGTTTCCCTCTACTCATATACCATCTGATCATGATCCTCGTTATGATCCTGGTTCAGTGCCTATAGAGGAATCAGGTGTGTCATCTTTTGTGC